TTTTTTAATAAACATTTCATTCTGTACGACGTTGCTGCTTGGCAACTTCTTAAAAGACTTTCGTTTCTCTGGCAACAAGGGTTATATATACATATATTCCTTTAAGTAATCTATTTTTTTTAAACTTATCTCACCATAAGAGAGAACATATTTACATATATGTATGTATACTCAATTTTAAGGCTACTTGACTCCATAAGCAATAGAAGTTTAAAGGTCTTTCAAATTTGATTTTTGGCCAAAGCAGACTCCAATGTCAATTAGTATTAAATTATTGAATTAATTAAAATAAATGAGTCGCAAAAAAAATTTTTAAACGTACCCTGTAGGAAATGTTGGTATCAAATTTTTACGTCAGCAGCACTACTGACCATGGTTGCAAATATGTAATGGATTAAGAAAATAATTGAATTAACATTTGAGTTCCATTTTTTTTTTGTTTTTGTAATGCCAAATACCGGATTAATAACAAGAAAATGTAATCCCGCCTACCGGATTAAACAATTTTTAATAAAAAACAAAAATAATAAAATTAAAAATGTTTAATCCCAACTTTAGGATTGAAATCCAGCATCCAACATTGGGATTAAAAAAAGAAAAATCTAATTTTTAATCCAAAATTTTTTAATTAAAAAATTCGCAACTCTGCTACTGACCAATTTTCAAAAAACAATCTGCTCTCTATAGACATAGATATAACATGCGCCGAACAATTAGAGTTTACTAATGCTCTTTGAAATACTTCAAAAGTGATTTTTATTAAAGTTGTTTGCAAACATAAAAAACATTTTTTCAGTAGTACATTTTAATTATCGTCAAAAGCATTCTAATATTCAACTAGATTTTCAGACTATTAACATTAACTATATATAAAGTTGAGTTGAAAATTTTATTTTTTTTTGTTTAATTGAATAGAGAATAAATCAAATAATTTTAAAAGTAAGAAAGTAAAAAGTTTTTATGTTCCGCAGACAATGCCTCAAAGTATCTCAAATCAGTCTACTAAAGTGTTGATGACTGGACGAAACTCGATTCGAAACAAACAATTTCAATTCAGTTAACACAATTACATACATACATATATAAGTAAACATATATTAAATTATTTATATGATTTACTTTTACAAATTGGACAATTTATTTCAATTTCTGCAAATGCATGTCAACACAGTCGCTTAGAACAATTGAAGCAAATACGTGTATATTGGAGAACTACACATTATCACGCATATTTGTCGCCTTTTTACTTTAATTGAATTTGATTGATGATGTTTGGTTTAATGCGTACATTATTTCAAAGTACCTTGACACGTCGACAGATAGCACAACCACATACATACATATATGTATATGAGCATAAAGTAATATATGTTTGCATAAATATGATATACGAGTAGTTACATACATATGTCAGTATGAAACGCGCACAATTTAAATTTACGAGCACCTAACTAACTAATTCAGCTTATTATTTTCACTTTATTATCTTTCACTTCCCGTGGGTCAAATGACCTTTCAAATTAAGAAGTATACAAATTATATAATGTTTATTTACAATGATTTGTATATCTAAAGAAAAAATGTGTGTTTGCAAAAAGGCTGGCATTATTAAATAATTGTAGAAGAAAGCGGTTACACAACTTTTATAAAACAACGTACTTTCTTGTATTGAAATCAACTGAATAATTTTGTTACTGATTTCACTTAAGTCGGGAAGGTTAATTTATGTAATTCCATGTTCCATTTTATGATTTTTTTATTTATATTATATAGTTAAAATCTATTTTTACAAGGCAATTACATGACATTTGAAGAATACTTTGTTAAACTTTCATGGAGAGTTATTAAAAAAATACGGCAATACGGCTGCAATGAAGCGTTCCGGAAAAAAGTTAAATTACGGTTGATTACAGTGTTGAATCATTTGAAATAAAAAAATAAAAAAATATGTCGTTAGATAATCGCTTTGCCGAGTTAACACTGGTGAGTTATTCGAAATTTTAATTTTTGCTTTTTGGCATCATTTTGAAGGAACAAACGTTATAGCATTTTGTTGACTAAATAAAAAAAAAATTTATATTTATATAATTTAGTATACTTTAATAATCGGTAATTAATTTCGAAAAATGTTTGGGGTATCTTGATCCCATAGCGGATTTCCAGGATAACCCTCGAAAAAAGATTTCTGCACAAAATTATCTCAAGATCAAAAATCAAAAAAATGTATAATTAATTTATATGAATACAGAAAATGATCGAAGGACTAGTAAAAATTTTAATTCAATACAAAATGGCGGTGTAATGGCTTTTTTGTAAAAAAAAAATTATACTTCAGACTGGCTTAAAAAAAAATTGAAATCATTATCAAAAATCTTATTACTTTAATCTTTAACTGACAAATACTATATCTAAGAAGGCCGTTTGTCAATTTCAATTCGATCAGTACAGCCCGTTTCGGAGAAATTTTTCTAAGTGACTCTGAAAACAGTATCTCCAAGAATACGCTTTCAAAGTTTTGGGAGAAAATTGCACAAAATTACAGAATTCTTACAAATACGCTTATATCTCCAAAACTATTTGCCGAATTAAATTCTCTGAAAATATTTTCAAATATATTTACACTCGATATATTTATAACAAAAAAATACCGATTTTGTAAATTCACGAGTGAATTTAACCCTTATATATTTTGAGGCTATTTGGTGCAAGACAAAGCTGGCTGCTATATCTGAGAAATTAAATTTTGGTATTTGCAAGCTTTATACTTAATTTAAACTAAAATATTTGTGAATCTCTAAACTTTTTTTAATTTATATTATTGCTCATGCTTTCGAATACCTAACTAGTTCAGAACTAGAGAATTTCTGCAAGATCAAAGAAATAAATATTACATAGACATAACTAAAAAGCCTTGAAATAATTATTTTAAATATCTATTATTTTGACACTTGCAACCAAGTATTTTATCCGATAAAAACTGAAAACTTTTTTTTTTTTTTTAACTAAAATTGAAAACCCAAATTTGCGCGCAATTAATCAATACAAAAATTTAATTTATTTACTTCCTCAACAAATGTTTTACATGTAGCATTCAAATTTGTATTAAATATAATTTCACACTTGCCAATGTAGTTCCTTATTGTTGGTCCAATAGGAAATCAATAGAAAGTAGAAACCCATCTATGAATAATTCGCACACGCTGCTTTGCAAATTTACAACTACAAATATGCAAATACATATTAAATTTTCTATAACAGAGAATTCTTTGTATAATTATATTAGATGTTTTTTCCGTGAATATATTTTTCATCATTACACATACGTTGAAAGGCACATTTTGCCAAGGGGGAGTAAAGCTTATTTAATTGACAACAATCTTTGTAAAATTATTCATCATAATTGTAACTGTAATATATAATTATATTGTATTTGCACATGCATTTATGTGCACTTTAGAACTCTTATACACGTGTACATTTGTTTGCACTGTACAAATAATTTATTTTAAAAACAAATCTATACTGACCTTACTACAATATCAGAATAACGATCTGTAATTTGATAATAAAACTACGCGAATTACATAACCATGTGATGCATTCACGCAAATACTTAATAATTTTGCTGAATTTGCATTATTTGCGCTGACACATGAGGGGTGTTTCTTTATTTTTTGATAAAAGAACTACTTTTTTTGATTAGAATAGTAGAATTAATGCGCAATAGCTTCAGCCGCTGTTGAAGGCGAACAATTTATGTGAAGTTCGAGATTTGCTTGCAGGGTTGAAATTATTATGAAGGGTCAGACAATACTATATTAATATAAAAATACCATGTGTAATATTTTGCGGTGTTTTTTACGCCTAACTTTGATGAGTAACAAAAACTACTCGTTTATTGATGAAATGCCAAAGTTTCATCTTCTAAAATAATTTTCCGATAATAAACAAAAAATAATAGCTTATCGAAATAAATATTTATTTTTTTGCAAAGTGTGCATTTATTTGATAAAAGGCCAGTAAATCTAAAAATTTCGGTTTTTCAGCGAAGTACGCATTTTGTTAATTCTTCATTCAATTACTTTTTAAATTTTCACATAAAATACGAAAAAAAAACGTTCAATTCGGCTGTAACGAAATTATAGGGGTACTATACATATCACATAGAACTTGATTCCTTACAAGAACTTGATTTTGATCGTTCACTTCACGGAGATAGTACCAATGCCATACTTCAGAGAATCCCCTATGCCAAATTTCGTGAAGATATCTCTTAAAACAAAAAAGGTGTCCATACAACTACTAACAGACCGACGGACAGAAGGACATGGCTCAATCGACTCAGCTCGTTATGCTGATCACTTATATATACATTTGTATATTTGATTGGCCCTCCGACGTTTCCTTTTTGAGTGTTATAAGCGTCGTGGCATACAAATCGCACGGTACATTTGGCCACACCCCAATGTATGAGCCCAAAAAAATATATACACACATACTAACATAATATTTGTAGTTGTTTACACAACATTGATTGTGTTGTCAATCAATTAAATTGTAATAAAAAGTTCTAGTTCACTAGTTTCGCAAGAATTTTGCCAAGCAGGGCCAAAGGGGTGTTTTATTAGCTCATAGTAAACTAACAACAATAACAATTATTGTTTCAAACTTGAAAGTAAACAGAACAATATTCATTATCATTCCAATTACAACAACAACTTATATTATATTATATACAAAAACAGTAAAATAACAAATTGCTGCCAACAATACAACAGCAATAACAATAAAACTCTCGCCGCACTATCAAGTAAAAGTTGTAGTTTTCAAAGGTCACCCGGCACACAAACACACACATACACACACAAGCACCCAAACACATTTGCTGAACAAACTGCAATTTCTGCACCACAACTACAACAAATCGCCATGCCGATGCTAAATTGTGTCACTTTTTTTAAACTCTCTCTCTCTCTCTCTCTCTTTTGTTGTAATTCCAGTGATGCTGCCGGCTCGACGTCCGCCAACAATAACAATAACAACAATCAGCAGAATACCTTGGATGAAGTCGAAGTCGAAAATCGCATTAAGATGGTTATAAATGAAGAAAAGTTTGTAGTCCAAATTTCAAAATTTTCAAATTCCATCTTTTGTCCTTGTTTTATGTTAACACACGTTTCGATTTAATGTTTTTGTCCAAATTCATCAAAATTACCACAGTATATAAGAAAACACGAGACTTTTTCTCATTTATACAAAAATCCTCCTCCTCAAGCCTTTTTCCTTACCTACACTTCCTGAATTACCCACACTTCCTGAAAAATATTTGTTTGTCTGCTTTGCTGTAGAAATAAAAAGCAAATCTTTTTTTTTTATTTTTTATTCTTCTTTAAGTTGATCAATATTTTTAGTTTTATTTCAAATAACTTTATTCGAATAAATTTAGTCCATTTTTGGTGTATTGTTCTTTTTACCCTTTCCATTGTTTAGTTTTTTATTTATTTTAGTTTTTTGGGTGTGTTTACAATTTTGTTATATTTTTTGTTATTTATTTTTGTTGTCATATTTTTTATTATAAATTTTTATTTCTTCAATTTTTTTTACATTTTTACTAAATTTTCGGGATTTTTTACTTTGTAAATAATTGTGTTTTTCTTCTGCTACATTAATTTCGTTAGTTATTTTGGTGTGTTGAATAATGTTTTTATACCCTGAACAGGGTATATTTGATGTGCGCGACAGGCTGAGTCGATTCAGATGTTCAGACGTCTGTCTGTCTGCATATACGTGAACTGAGTTAGTTATCTGAAATCAATCTAAAACTTTGTATACGTCCTTTACTCACCAAGAGAATGCTCATAGTCTCCATACAAACTGAGCGATTAAAATCAAGTTCTTGTGTTTTATAAAAATGTTTTTATTTGACGAAATATACTCGCGAAATTCAACAGAGATTATTATCCAAGACAAAGCTTAATCTCCGAACAATTAGTTCAGATCGCAACACTAAGGCATATAGCTGTCATATAAACTGATCGATCAAAATCAAGTTTTTGTGTGAAAACTGTTTTTTTTTTTGTTGTTTTTAGAAGGGTATTAAGCATCAGTGTTTGCTTTTGGAAATCACATTTTCAATCTCATTCATAAATTTTTATGGCCCTCAAAGGTTTCCTTTATTAGTTCAAAACAATTTAGCAGCATAAAATATTCTTAGCACGTTCCTCAAGTTTTTGTTTAATTACTTTTTTGATAGTTTAAATCAGCATTTTAATATCAGAACCCCAACGATAAGAGAACACCAAGCTTTAATTGAGCGTTTTTTTTTAATTACGAGTACATAATCACAGGAAACATTAGTAGATGTTTCGATTAGATAACTTGTGGAAAAAATTCTGATGATAAAAACAACAATAGTTCAAAGAAAAGTACACATTTTTGTATTTTTTTTTTAGCTCTCTAACAGGTTTAATGTACATATCTCCTAAGCCACTAAAGCTACAACAAAACCCATATCTCGGGACCTACTCGACTGATTTCAAAAAAATACGATAGGTAATATTATTCTGACATTCCTAAATTACAGTGCGAAAATAGTCGAAATCATTCAAATACTGTGCCTAATTCCCATTTAACACAATTTTACATTCCATCTGATTCTTTCTTTTTCCAGTATTCAAATCAAGAAGCAATCAATATATCCGGATGAAACTTTGTACGAATAGTGCCTTTTAGGTATGCCATCTTTTGGCCAAAAATGTCCAAGTCGGACCTTAACTATTCAAGCCCCCAGTTACTATATATGTGAACCCCAGTTCCTAATGTGCACTTTTTACCGAAAATATCGCTCAACCTGTCAGGTTTATTATTGAAATTCGAAAAGAATTTTACCGACATTGAACCTTGCGATTTGCGAGAGTATAAAATGATCGGTTATATCCGAACTTAGCTCTTCCTTTCTCGTTTAAATTAAAAACAGTCAACAAATACTTGATTTTTTTTTTTAATTTAAAAAAAGAAATCGCATATAGTTTTGATGTGAATTTCGCTAATTTAATTTGAAAAATTAGAGTATCAAGGTTAAAAAATTGTTCAGTTCGTCTTTATTTACTTTATCGTGACAGTTATCGGAAAATGATTGTATTTCAAAGAAGACATTTCAAAAACATTTTCATGAGAGTAAACAAAGCTTTATATACAATGCATAACATTCGAAAGATCCCAAAAAAATATCTTCTAAATTGATAAAAGCCGAAGATGTCATACATATATTGTACATATACTATGCATATATATCTAACATACATTTTTTTAAATATTTTTTTAAACAATTTATGTTAAAATCACTTTTTTATTCATTTCATTTCTTATGTTCCCACATTCAAAAAATTATGACAACAGCTGAAATGTTATTTATTAGCATGAGTGGCGTAAAAAAAAATTTAGATAACAGACCAACAACTTATTAAATGTACGACTGCATACATAAACATAAAAATATTTTGCGATAACTGTAATGAGTAAAGGAGGGCTCGTCAATGTAATGTGTTCGATAGTATGTACATCAGATGATTCATTTATTGTCTTCATTTATTGTGGTTCGGTAACTATACCTTTGCTATTTATACTGCAAGATTTCGAGCAATTTTTGATTTAACTGAAATGAATATAATATTTTTCGAATATTTATGGTTGTTTTGATGTATCGAAAAATTTCAAGCACTTTGGTTTCATATTAAAAATATTTAGTTTATCTAGAAGCTATTTTGAGTTAAAATTAAAATTTTGAGGTTAGTAATTTGTGGAAAAACTTGTGGAGTATGTTTGTGGAAGATTTCTTCCTATTATTTAAACTTTTATAGTCATGAGGTTGGATCCGTAGTATTATTTCGCACTTAGTATTGTTTGAAAATCCCTTTTCAGTGTTTTAATATAAGGAGCATACAAAATTAAGCAGAAGTGGTGACTTGAGAAGAAAACTATGTAAAAAAAAATATATATGTCTAAAATATTTAGAGGTTATGTTTTTTTTAAGATCAATATAATCGTACTGTATATTCTAAAACTTTCGGGATACGTGTTTTGACAATCCCAAAATCTAAATATTCGAAAAATGAGCTGTGGTTTGAACACCTTTGTATGTATGAATTCTTCGTAAGAACTGTTATTGTCTTAAAGTCATCAAACGTAAATTAATTGGAAAGATAAGAAAAGCATTGATGCTTGTTTTTGATTACAATTTTTGGAAATATGTTTCTAACTTTATTTTTAAAACGAAACATCATAACAGATAACTAAATATTAATATTTAAATGTCAAATATTTGTTGGTCTAAAGTTTTTTCAACTGACTGCGTCAGATTATTCTGCGCGGAGCGCCGAAACCGTGGGGTTGTAAACAAAATTGTTTTTGTGTTTTTTTTATTGTGATTAATGTTCGTTGTTTTTGTATTCACACATAATTCACGCACAAAATTTTATTTTCTACACAAAAATGTTGCGCCATCACCTAACAACAACAACACACACAGTATTGAGGTTTTTATTTAAAACTGACTTACAATCCCACACACACATAAATATAATAAATATTTTTAAACAAAAAAAAAAAACAATATTAATTTTTTACTACTTTTGCTCTTTACTTACAGCTATTCATACGAGCTGATCAAGGAGATCGCTGATTACTTTCTGGAGCGCATCAGCATTCGGCCCGTCATCGGCATTATTTGCGGTTCGGGTTTGAATTCACTAGCCGATCATATTACCGGCACAGAAGCCTTCGAATACAAGGACATACCGAACTTCCCCGTCTCGACGGTAGAGGGTCATGTCGGCCGCATGATCTTTGGCTATTTGGAGGGTATGCCCGTCGTTGCCATGCAGGGTCGCTTCCACTACTATGAAGGCTATCCGTTGGCGAAATGTTCCATGCCTGTGCGTGTATTGAAATTGGTCGGTATTAAGTATCTATTCGCCACAAATGCTGCGGGCGGTCTCAACCCGAAATACAAAGTCGGTGACATCGTGATCGTGCGTGATCACATTAATATTATGGGCTTTGCTGGCAATTCACCGTTGCAAGGACCCAACGATCCACGCTTTGGCACCCGCTTCCCACCCATGACGAACGCTTACGATCGTCATTTGGTGCGCAAGGCGCGTAAAGTGGTGCGTGAGATGGGCATTGAGAATGACGTGCATGAAGGTGTCTACACATGTTTGGGTGGTCCCAATTACGAGACTGTGGCCGAGTTGAAAATGTTGCGCATTATGGGCGTGGATGCAGTGGGCATGTCCACGGTGCACGAAGTAATCACAGCCAGGCATTGCGATCTCACTGTGTTCGCTTTCAGTTTGATCACGAATAAGTGCGCTTTCGACTATGACAGCAGTGAGGAGGATGCCAATCACGAGGAAGTTGTAATGGTCGGCAAATCGCGGCAAAGCATTTGTGGTGAATTAATGTGTCGAATGGTACGCGAGTTGGCCGAGGAGACACAGCAGAAGAATGGCAAGAAATAAGCGCTGCAATTGAGGGAATCGTACCAAAAATATCTTAGTTTGTAATAATAGTATAGCTTGCTACGTAGTTACATATAAAGAAAAACAAAAAAGACATAAATAGAGTGTAACGACAAACGTTGGTGTGTGAGTGAGATAGCGAGTGTTCGTATTTACTCTAGTTACGCACCTATCTCATACACAAACCACTGACAGTTGATAACTATAGACGCGTATTATGAGGTAACACTTAAACAATATAAGATTACTTTGTAGATTTGCATTAGATTTGTAGTTGTCTTATTATGTTTTGCGTTAGCTCTGTTTGATTCTTTTATGTATGTTTGTAGACATTTTTATACATAATATTATTAACATTATGATATTTTTACGCGTTCGACTTTGAGTCATCTACTACTTTTTGCATTTAATATTTTAGTTTTTATTGCATAACGACAGTCCAAGTCGCGCAGTAAGCCAGTGAATATGTATCCCTATAGAGTATATGCGAGTTCAATACTAATGCATTGTTTAGTGTATTATAACATATAATACTGATTTATTATTTTTAAGTGTAAAGTATACATGTGTTGTACTTTTAGCATTTACGTATTTACTATAATTGTATTCAACATTATTTATTAGAATGTACTTCACTTTTTTAGAAATATAAATATGCACAATAATAAGCATATTGATTGACGTATTGAAACATTAATGTATTTTCGATTAAATAATAAAACTAGTACATATATTGAGCACACAAAATGTTTGTTGTAAAATATTGTATATCACTTTCATTTAAAATTTCTTTTATTAAACAAATACTCGTACAATGCTGCCTGATGAAATTGCGAGTAAAAGTATGCTACTTTTATGTCGCATACGTGAGATTTTAGACATAAAAAAAAATATTATTCCAATTTCATGTTGTTGAAGAAGTCAAATTTCTTTTTGAATTTTTATTAAAAATATAAGTGCATTATAATTTTTATATCCGAGAGGAGTGTTTTCAGTTTGTCATGAAGTTTGTAACACCCAAAAGGAAATATCAGAGATTTTGTAATATATATATATATATATAATAAGCGTGCAGCCATGTCCGTCTGTCTATATATACCTGAACTAGTTCCTGAGTTTATGAGGTATCGATCTGAACTTCTTTTTTTCATTTGTCGGCACCACCGATATTGCACTTATATAGCATAGAACTGGCATACAAAAAAAGAGTTAAATTTTATACAGAAAAAATGAGAAATAAATAATTTATAAAAAAGTTCAATTAATAAGAAAAAATCGTACGCAATTTACTAAATCAGATTTTTGTGAATATGTGCAATAGTCTCGGTATATCAGCATCGCCTGATTTGAAAAATGAAGCTTCGAGAAAAACGCGTCTAATGTTGTTAAATAAAGTGCTAAAGTTGACTAACACGCATGCGTCGCCAGTACAAAGCATTAAACAGGAAAAAATACTATAACTATTCTACTAATGTTAAATAACGTTTTTAAGACACTAAAGAGCACTTTAAGTCAAAAAAATATTTTTTAAGGACTTGACTGGCCTAACCCTGCAATCTATACCTATTTGAGCTGAAATGTAAATTTCCAAACAAAATTTATACTTTCGTCTAAACTCTTTAACCAACGATCTAAGAAATATCCTCAGTACTAAGTCTTATGCCACTTTTATTCATACCATTACTATTACCTTAGCAATGTTATCAGCTTGTGTTATTGCCATCAATATTGCCGTGAAATCCAAAATTGCAAAACAATCCAGATCTGATAATGGTTCTCACTCAGCTCTCAAGTATTCGACTTCAATTTACATTGAGCATCAATTTACATAAAATTAATATTTATTGAGAAATGGTAGAGATGTTTAAAAAGTTAAAATTTTAGTAAAAAAAATTGTTTGAAAACACTTTTAACGATATATATTTACTTAGCAAACGTAAATAGTTTCCAAATGCCGACTTATACTGTTATTCTATATATTTCGCTGCCCAAAAGTATGCTGTGTTTAGACATCCATTTAGATATTTTCTCCAGCAAAGGCGGGCGTTTTTACATGTGTGCAAAAATACATTTATACAATTATACAGTAATTAAAGAAAATGAGTTGTACTTTATATAGACACACACATATTTATCTATATAGATATATATGCATGTATATTTTCACATTTTATATAGACATTCGTGTATATAGATATATGCATATACATATAATAATTGTTTAATATTTCTAGAAAATAAGTCTAAATTGTACTAATGATGCGGAGGCCAGCATTTTTTCGGTGAAACTAAATAGCTGGATTATCATCCGTTATACTCCATTATTTAAAATATCCTTTTCATTCAATTTAATCGTTCGATATCATCATTCTTACTATTATATAATAATATCAATTTGAAATTTGTCAGTAATTATTTATTTAATTTTTTATTGAAATTGTTTCATTCCCATATTGACATTTCTGTAAATAAAATTGTTTAAAAAATGAAGAAAATTGAATAAGTGTGGCAACCTTGCATCATATCATACTTAAATTGAAGCCTTTGTAAATGTGTGTAGTCCCATATTGACATTTCTGTAAATAAAATTGTTTAAAAAATGAAGAAAATTGAATAAGTGTGGCAACCTTGCATCATATCATACTTAAATTGAAGCCTTTGTAAATGTGTGTTCATTATATTGACATTTCGTAAATTGTTTAAAAATGAAAATTGAATAAGTGTGGCAACCTTGCATCATATCATACTTAAATTGAAGCCTTTGTAAATGTGCTGGCTTCGTGTTTTAAATTATTAACCGTTTATTATATCTGACTTTTGAGACAGGTGACGCTCTATAAAATATTTTTCACATAAATGTATGCAAACACATTTCTTAGTATTATTACATTAACATTTTGTCCTAATTTTAAATTCTAAATATGTGGCAATTGTGCAAACCGTTTACTCAAAAGTTTTAAATGGACTGCAAAATTTAATGTAAACTTTTGCGTAGACACAGAATATAATTCTATGAACTGAAAACTTGTGTCTGATCTTTAGCAGAGCGGATTCTCACTTTTTAAATATTTTTTGTAATTACAAATATAGTATTGTTCAATTCAGACCTCCAGCTGAAACTTAAATTCTTTTGAAATCATTTGAATTATTTATTTACTAACCTTACGATTCCCGTGATTTTAATCCACAAACAATTATTGAGTCTGCAGCCTTTAAAAACGTCATAATTACGTTAGTTTAGTCATTTGTAATGATATTGCTTTCGCAGTTCTTACTTGTTTTTCAACATAAGCACCTGTGATTCTTCATCAAAATAGAATAAATTTTAAACTCAAATTATTATTTTTAGTTTAAAGTTTCGGTCGCTAAATTTTCCTTTCAGTTTAAAAATAATAAAAATAAAATTAATTCAATAATTAAATAATCCGCTGCATCGTACCCTCGTTTCGCATACGACGTAATGCGGATGCTAAGTGCGCAGGCAAATGTGAAGATAAAACGTAAGATTAAGAATACAAACATACATACATATATATATATAAATACATTTTATTAATTCCCTCTAGCATCACCTACGAAGCGGTCAAAGTCATCGCCGACAATATTCTGTCACGCATAAAAATCAAACCGGTTATCGGCATTATATGTGGCTCGGGTCTGGGCTCACTAACCAAACCATTACGAATGCGCAAAATATCGACTACAAGGACATACCCGGTTTTCCGTCTCAACGTTCCCGGACATGCAGGACCTTCGTCATCGGCACGCTTGAGGTCTACCAGTGTTGGCAATGCAGGGACGCTTTCACTACTACGAAGGCTATCCATTGGTGAAGTGTTCGTTGCCCGTGCGTGTCAAACAATCACGTAGCAC